ATGGAGACACTGGGCTAATGGAGCATTAACCGATGGGGCGGTCGCTTACATCTCAATCGTGAACGCCTGACTTACGATTATGGCTTAAGTAAGGACTCCCACACAAAACTGCGATGCGATGCGATTTTCTGCGATACGATTTAGTGCGGCAAACCGTTTGGTAGGGCGACCATTCCTTCGTAGTCAGCCGTACTGGATGTGTTTTTAGGAAGCGTAAGATGGATCGCAAAAAGATTATTGCACTGCTGTTATTGTTAAATAGATATAAAAGAAAAAGAAGATTCTGGGTTCATCCATTTATTACGATTATGAACTCTGATGCAAACTTTCACAGACGCTCTTCCTTAATAAATTTATATTTATAATGTTCATCAGTTGTGTCCCAAAGGACGGGACGCTCCTCAATTAAAAATATTAAAAAATCCATATCATATTGCGCAATTTTTTTATAAACAAAGAAGGCGGCGGAGGCGCCACGCGTCTTTCTCTAAAGCTGTCTCAGAGCGGACTAAAATGGCGTCACCAAGGATGATGTAATATCGCAAGAATGTGCGATGCGAAGCAGATCGGAACTTCTTGCGGTGCGTTCGTGCGAATTTGCAGATATTTGCGATGCGATGCGAATTCGCAGTTTTGTGTGGGAGCCCTAAACTGTATGGTGTACGTGTTAATTGTCACGCGAGTATTTGTTGTTAGTTTATAAATGGCACTTGTATTGTTTGACGGTAATCATACAGTTGGTATGGTTGGTAATCATCACCGTATAATATGTCGTCATGATCGTAGAACAATGGCGGATTTAAAAAAAAAACAAAATCAACTTTTCATTATATTTGGATACTTACTACATTGACTAAATATTACGGCTACATTAAAAAAAAGTCCATGTGTTTTAAATTTCAAATTAATTAGTCGGTAAAGTGATGGGATTTGATAGACGCTCAGCAGCATGTGATTTTTCTAGAAAACTGTGTAATTTAATGTTATTATTTTTATTTTGTTTCAAAACAAACCCTTTCGTTTGCGTGTATATCAATTTTCATAGTAACAGAATATGAATTAAAAAAGTTATGACAAAAAAACTAACATGATTATACATTTTGAAATGGCCCAGTAAAGTTTACTTTTTGTCAGATCCGTCACTATTCTACGACTATGACGATGTGTGTATACCATTTTCCGTAACTTTAATAACATTTTTTTTCTTATCTGTGAAGCAATTTAGCTGTTATGTATTTATTTTACTGTATTTGTGTGTCTTATACGTTTACTTCTTTAATAAATAAACTAATGCGTTAAATTGTGCGCAATATATTATTGAACACAGTTTTTGACAGTTTACAATATCGTGACATACATTAAAATATCATGATGGAATGACAGAACTGTCCGTCATGTCCTCGTAACGCACCGTAAGCCGAGAACAATATGAACAGTTTTACCGTTGTGGAGCCAAAATTAATGTGTTTAATTTTAACTAGTAGATGTCATTATATGCATACAAATGAACAAAAATTATGCTTCATACGAATTTAGTATTATAGTGGTAGGTGAGTTAATCTTCAACTAATTAATAATAAATAAATAAAAAAAAAACAGTGGCGCTACAACCTCTTTAGGTCTTGGCCTCAGATTTATGAATCTGTTTCATGATCATTTTTAAATCTAATAGGCAAGTAGGTGATACTAAAGATAGATACTAGAGTTTAAGACAAGTCGTTTTCCTCACGATGTTTTCCTTCACCGTTCGAGCAAATGTTAAATGCGCACATAGAAAGAAAGTCCATTGGTGCATAGCCGGGGATGGAACCTACGACCTCAGGTATGAGAGTCGCACGCTGAAGCCACTAGGCCAACATTGTAATTAATATTTAAGAATATTAATTACAAGAAGATAATTCTATATTATCTTCTTTTTATTACATATATCTTTATATTTGAATAATTTTATTAAAAAGATAATAAAGATGCTACAGTAATTACTGTAGATTTTAATTAGTAAGGAAACTGCTGACGACGTACGTCTGTCGGTGGTTAATAGGTTTAATTAATTTTTCCTGCTTTTAAGATTTTTTTGCGCTGTGTTAAGATTTATAGAATATAAAAATTAATGCTTTTATAGAATAGGAGGCAAATGAGTAGATGGGTCACTTATAGTTGTTACGGGACGGGCGATTTACAAGTGCGTTGCTGGCCTTTAAGGTGTATGCTCTCTTGAAGGTTGGAAATACCTAGAATGGCAGCTGGTTCTATAAAGTGGTGGTGTGTTAAGAAGTGTCTTACAAAGCACTCCTTCGTAAGTTTAAGATATTCAAATCATCTACCGTTTATTCAATTTAGTGCGTCTTAGGGCATGCTTATGAATGTCAAACGTTTACAAATTCGCGAAAGATTACGCCATCCGTTCGCAAAACTACCAGGAGACGGCTGGAAAAGTTTTCCTTATTTCTCTCCCTATTGAGAATTACTAAAAGAGAACTAATATTACTACGAAAAAACGACACAGTTTAAAAATTGGGAAGGTACCGTCAAAATATCGATTTCCTTGAACAAATTTCTAAGTGAAGTACCTGGTTTCAAGCAATAAATTGACCTAATAGCACGTGTCTACATAGGGAATAAACATGATTAATAAAACTATGTTTGAAGAAAAGAGTGACAATTAAAAGGTGTAATAATCAGCGTCCGTCGAGTAATTTATACTATTATTGTTATTTTTTTATCAAACGAAGGCAAATGGGCAGGCTTACCTGATATTAAATGATACTGTCTATGGGTAGCCAGTCACATTGCTAGTAGTCTCGTAAGTATGGTGCCGGCCTTTTAAGATACATTACGCTCTGTTCTTGATGAACCCTAAGTCGATTTGGTTCGGAAATATTTCAATGGGTGATACATAATGTTGCGCAGCAAAAATGTTGTGCATTAAAAAAGTTGTGGAACGATGCCGATGTGATACGAGGGAATTTTTGTATTATACTGTTTATATATTATACTTAAATAGTTTGATATTATATCTCCATAGGGAACATTTAAATAGGTGATTAAAATTGTTAGTAGCATCAATTAAGTTTAATCCAAATCGATGTAATGTAATCGTTTGTTGCCGAACTCGTTAAATGCGAAACCTATTGAAATTATTTTAGAACTATAATAATCATGAATAGCGATTATAACAATGGAAAGAAAACTGGCATAACGCCAACGCCTGCTTCAAAGTACCCGATCACGCGATTCGAATCGAAAATCGATGCGATAACTATTTTATTCGATCCAATTTGAATACACTTCGTATGACGCCACCTGGTGCACGTGGACTGAACTAATAATATAGCCTTGCATAGTACTTAAGTCCTCGTATATGACGAAACAAATATTTAAAAAGTATCGCGTTGGAATTTACAGCTAAAACACAGGTGCACTTGAAGAGGTAGCTGACCTGACTAGCGCCTTTACTATGTAACTTCCAAGAATCCAACCCCATGTTTTTTTTGCAATGTCACGGTAATGCTGATGTCATGACCTTGGGATAGCAAGGTACAAAAATCCAACATTACAGTGCGGATCGCAATGACTATTATTATTGACAAACTAGCTGGCCTGGCGTACATCGTACCGCCTAACAGTTGATTCTTTATTTGTTTTAAATACTTATTCTGCTATTCGGGACACCGGTCTAGTTAGTAAGATAAAAAAAAGAAAGTTGATAAGACAACAAATACATTATGTCAAAAAATAAAAATTTACCTTCCCGGAACCCCTCCACTGACACTTGAACTTTATGGTATGGTATTAAAGTTCATATTGACTTTTAAGGATTATTACGAATCTTTAGTATGGGAACATAGAAAAGTGTTGTTTTGAGACTTTTTCACTCAATTTTTTTAATTTTTCTCTCCGTAAGAACCATCCTCGTACTTCAAGGAATATTATAAAAAAAGAATTAGCAAAATCGGTTCTGCTGCTCTCGAGATTTGCGCTTAGCAACCCATTCCGCGATTCATTTTTATATTATAGATTATCAGTGTACGTCCTGACTTAGCTAAGAAAAATGTTTTAGTGAAAATTACACGAAACATCCATATAGCATCTGCATCTTTTACCTCATTTAGCATGGAGAGTATTCAAAGGAATTGTTGTAGAATACGAAATACCACCCGTATCACCTCGACGTTCGCAAATGAGCATTTCTTAAGACAGTTTTTGCCATGTACCACCACTATGTGGAACCAGCTGGTCACTGAAGTATTTCCGAACCAATTCGACTTAAGTTTCTTCAAGAAAAGAGCCTACCAATACCTAAAAGGCAACGCACTTGCGAGCTGTCTGGCAATATGAGTGTTCATGGGCGGCGGTATCACTTAACATCAGGTGAGCCTCCTGCCCGTTTGCCCTCTGTTGGCTTGTTGCTTGGCTTTGTTCTGAGACAAGTTAAGGGTTTTATGATCATAACTACTGTGAGAGTTATATGATGCACTGGTGAAAATTCATATGGAGCATAATTCAGAGATTTGGGCTCCCTATGAAATTGGAGCGGGTACAAAACAAATTTTTGAGGAATATCTATCTAAGCTCTACGGTGTGTACCCTTTTTACTCACTCATGTATCCAACCTTATTTAATCTTGGTTCCATGGGCTATAACGAGCTTAGAGTACGCCGAGAATCCGCGCTTGTGATGTACTTAATACAATTATTACATGGCAAGGACAGTAATTCGGCAGTACTTCAGTACATTCGCTTCAATGTACCTGATGGGTACGTCAGAAAGCGACATGATCCGCCGTTACTTCATGTGCCCACAGCTAGGACTAACCTTCTGAAAAGGGCACATAATATGATTCGGTGTATTAATTTAGTTAACGAATTACATAGGTTAACGGACCTTTTTCACTATCCGTTAAGTGAACTGGCAAAAGTTCTATTATTTGTTAGTGCCTATATATAGTAGTTAGTTAATTTCTTGAATTTTTTAATATGTAATTTTGTTTTTCCTAATAATTAATTCCATGTTTGTTTTATTTGTTTCGTCTGTAAAGTTTATTGGCTTATTGTGCATTCTTGTCAATTTAGGGTCACATGTTAGGACAGGAGTGTTTTTTTTAAAATAAATATTTTTTTTATTTTCAGTAGTCTCTTTCTATCATAGCGCAAATATAATAAGCAAGAAAAAGACCAATGGTCACTTACCGTTATTCTCTTCAATTGCCGCTTTCCCTTGAACCAGGTTATTACGGCTGGTGGTCTGCTTCCCGCGGATTCACAGGAGACTTCATACCGCCTCTCTGACGTCAAGACACCGCCTTCACCCAGCTCAGCTGGCTTCTTAATCTCTACGGTCAATGGTCTTACTGTAAACAATATAAGATAATAGTTTATAGAAGCCACTGTGTTATTACTTAATAATCTTAAAAGCGTAATTGAGGAGAAATTCATTTGATACATTAGGCATATAATTTGTTATTGAGAGCCTTACTTGAAAACTCGAACAATCTAAATGTTTGCGCTAAATTGGTGTCAGTCAAAGAAGGATGTCAATTTTCGATGTTGAGTTTGACACACAAATAAAATGGTAGGTATTCCGGCGTAATGGCGCTAACATTAGAGCGCATACCGTACCGCATTTTCTTATTATCATTATTTAGGGATCCAGTGCTTGGAGTAGGTACACCACCGTTGATGGTAAGTGCTAGTCTTAGTCTGATCGATTATTTGATTCCTTTTTTTATTATACTGACACGCGACAGCCAAACCAGCGCAAAGTATTTTACCGAGGTAAGGGATCGTCCTGGATATAGCTTCCAGATACCCACACACTCGAGTTAACAAGAGCTTACGAGTACCACACACTTAACCATAATGTTTTGAATACAAATTTTATTTTATTAAATTACATAACTAGATGTTTTTGAAATTTATTAGCTGTACACATATTTAAATGTTTAGTACTCATGAACTCTTATTGCACGTTTGTAGTCTGATTAATTTAATAATTCAGTCACCTTATAAAGTATTTTCATTCTTAATGTAACGGCACATTTAAATAGAACCAAAATATTGCACCCAGACCATTGTAGAAATAAATGCGTTTCCTCGTTTTAAAGATAAAAAAACCTTATTGTTTTTGAGTATCCATTTCTAACCTTTAGGCGTGCGCGTGTTGCGGTCACCTAGTTAAGGAGTGTTTAGGAAATTGAACATAATCAGTAGCTAATTTTTAATTGCGCGCGGGAAGAACTACCGGCGCTACCAATTGTACGTACACTATCGTAATACAAAATGTGTGGTATACATAAACAAACCCATATTAATTTAACCCTGATTAATCAGGTTATATACAAGTTGTTCGTAAGATTTTGAAGAATACGAATGAATACTTACAATACATATCCAAAACCAGGGATACTTCTTTTGGTGGTACCAGATGTGAATTCGCCGCTTGGCATGTAAAAACGGCAGCGTAGTCCGCTCTGCGTATTGCTGGCCACATAAGTCTGTTCTCTATAACATCACCTGTGTTGTGTTCATACTCTTCGTCTACTAAGACACCATTAACAAGCCACCGAACTGAGGGCTCGGGTCGACCTGAAATCAAACAAACAATATTTAGTACTTTGGTATTCAATCATTAGAATGTAGACGTAAACAATACGACCTTATCTTTTTACACGCTATTTGCAACGGTTTAATTGACTGTCTTGACTTATTGTCGCTTTTACTACTTTCCACCCCTTCTTCATACAATACAAGGCAAACCCAACTATTTAAAATTCCTCGGTCTAATACAAACTATTTACGTAACTCAGTCATGTATCGTATACCTTCAGATGATAATACAAATTACCAGCAAATAGATATATTTAATGTAACTAAAAAATGTTAAAAAATAATTTAAAAAACTTAAATAATTTAAAAATTCTTCCTTTGTATTTAATATAATATATTTTAATGACAATGAATCTTAGAACTTAGAATTGATTATAAATACATATATTCTTTGTATATTTTTTGTATTTGTATAGGTGAAACTGTGCTTTATGTATGTTTAAATGTGTATTCCGTTTTTGGTTTTTGTGTACAGTGTAATTGTTTGAATATTGCTTAATAAGTAGCTGTAGGAATACCGTTGAGCAAATTAATAAAATAAATATAGTAGAGTTTTTTGAAGTGAAACTTCTTTATGCGCTTGAGGGTAAAATTTTTACGGATGAAACGCAATAATAATATTATCGTCGTAATTAAATTTATAATTTGTATTAATTTTCGACAATTTTAATATTTAATGACAACTAAATTCATTAAATTTCTAACATATCTTCCTTTTTCCCTCCTTCTTAAGTCTCGAAAATCTAAAGTGTTAGATTTGTATAAATATGAACCAGATTTAAAAATTTGTTTGCCAAAGATGTTTCACTTCTGACGTGTACTTTGTACGCACGCACTTTTTTGTGTTTAAAAATGATTGACGACGAATCCAATATTCTACATAATACACAACAAATAATTATTAGTTACATATGAATACGACTCGTTAATAGAGCAATTACCAAAAAAATACTTAATACTCAACTACTCAATAATATATAATTGACAATCGATTTTATAGGTTATATTTCTATTAAGGCCGTGTATGCAAGCGTCATGTGACGGTTACCATTTCAACTGAAATTGAAAGTAAGCGTAGATTAGATTTTATTCTTAAAAGGCCGGCAACGCACTTGCGAGGCTTCTGGAAATGTGAGTGTCCATAGGCGGCGGTATCACTTAATATCAGGTGAACCTACTGCGCGTTTGCCTCCATACATACATTACATTAAAAAAATATTAGATTATTTAGGGCTTTTGGAGGGTTTATGTGGTCTACTGTAAAAAAAATCCTTCCAAAGCGTAACCGTACGTACACGTGGCAACTGAAAATCAAAGCGACGATGCCCGGGTCGTCTGCCGTTCTGTCAATATCATCTCCGGGCCAACAGATGGCGCTAAGTATGAGAATATGTTACGACTTAATCAGCAGTACCTACTCAGAATTAACTTTAAATTAATATATGGCTTTCCACCTGCAGAAGTTTCGATTGCGTGGACTTCAAAACCAAAATGATTTGCAAAGTATGCACTTTTGCATTTTGGTATGTCTTAAACAAAAATCGTTATAATCAGTCTATTAATATAAAACAGCGAATTATATTATCATACTCAGGGCTCTGTATGAAATGGTTTTTATTGAAAAATCATTCGTTTTGTATTTATTTCATAGATGTAGAGATACGGTTTTTTTATGGAAGGACAGTGTCATCTGAAGAACAGTACAAATTTAAATCTCCAAAATTCAATTACCTGTTTTAAGCAGTAAAATTGTTTCCGATTGGATAAATAAGAACTTAGTTCTTAAATAAAAATTACGATTACAGCTGAAAGATTAAGGACAAAGTCGAAATGTAATCCGAGAATAACAAATTTGTTTAACAATCCAATTAAATCTAGTAACAGTATTAACTAAAAATAAAACCATGTCAAGCTAGACAAATATGTCAACATGTTTCTAACAAACATGAAGTATTCGGAACGAAAAAATTTAATGATTACGACATCAAGAGCACGTCACAATGTTATAATGAGTTATTTACGTAACTTTGCGCTTGAAAATTACGGAAAATATTGTACCGGATAATTTTTTAGTTTTATCATTAATTAAAAATCATATTTTTTTATAGAACCGAGGGCAAACGGGCAGGATGCTCCCCGGATGTTAAGTGATATTGTATTTATACCTAATTGGAATTGGTTTGGAATTACTTCCGTGGGCAGCTGGTTCCACATAGTGGTGGTACCTTAAAAACGTCAGTTGTTTAAAAGCTTTTAAGAATTTTTTTTTCAATGGATGTTAGGACGGCCTTGAAAACTGGTATTTTATTTAAGTACATCCAACGGCTTTACAACCAATTATGAGTTTTCACGTTTCCCTGCGATTAATCGTTTTACTTTGCCCTCTCTGCTTAACATACTGTTAATTACGAGGTCTAAGACATTGAACGACAAAGAACGATCGACGATTGTCAGAATGCACCATTACTATAAACAATAAATAGGCCCTGAATAGTTAGTATGTAAATCGTGAAAAGTACACAACTGAACAATTGACAGTGCCGAAAAGAGAACAATAAATAATTTATAGATTAGATTTAGTGCGATTAGATAATAATATACACTTTGACTTAACATGAAAAGTTCAAAACACTTACGAAATAATTGAGGGCGTAAGTAACTAAAAATAAAACCAATATTGTCTAATTAAGAAACCAACCAACTGATACAATAAAGAAAACGAAAACAAACATGGCGATTGGCCGTGTCAAAAATATAACTCCTTAGCGGTTTTCGTCTCAGTAGATGCAAAGAGAATTCGTTCGTGCACAACTGGGGTTCGATCTAATGACATTATCATAATATAATAGCTACTCATTATGTAGTAATTTTTAAGTTATTATACTCGCTAAAAAAATAAGTAATCTATAAAAATAAAAGGGATCGCAAAATATGTTGCTTAAACCCGACTCGAGTATTTTCTTTAAATTCCTGAGACTGAGAAAGATTTTTATGAAAAGAAAAATTTACGGCGAACAGTCTCTATGGGGTTAAAATGTTCCATATGTTGGTATGTAGCTACAATAAAGACAGGATTAATAAAAAAAAATAGTAAGGCGAAACGATAATCGCTATGTAATAAATAAGAACTTTATAATTTGAAAAACTAAAACTGATGAATGTATAATAATAATAGAAAAAAATACAATTTTTAATTGTTAATACATGTTATAGTAATATCTAGTTTTAGTTTTCAACGCCGAAAGCGACTGGTGAGTACATTTTATTAGAAACAACTTTGCCATGTTATGTACTAACTATTATGTAATTTCGTAACGAAATTCAGCATGGACGAAACGGCAGCTAACAGAATTTCACACGAGTCTCGCTTGTAAGATTTGCAACCACTTTACCCAAATTAAATCACTGTGTTCGTTGTGCGTCCAATCTAATTCAAAGTGTCAATGGATTCAATTTGGATTTGAGTTCCTCGAAGTTGCTGGGGCATGCATCTATTCATGAAATCGGTTAGCACATGCTAGTTCGGGCAAAGTTAGAGATTTTATGGCCTCACTTATTCTGGGCACGGCTAACTGGTCTCACGACTTAAACGAATTAAGCTTAAAATTATTTGTGTTTACGAGATTATTCACACTGATTTAGATGAACTAACGAGATGTAATGAATGAGCAATTTGGCAAGTAAAACATGTTATTACTTATTTTGATGCTTACTAATCGTTTTTCCTATAAAATGCATGATATATATGAGTACAGCCCTGCGATTCTGTAACTCACGTATCTGATAAACAATAAACTACAAGCTCCCATCTTTTCAGAATGCCAAATCATAAAATGACTGCTTCACGACTAATTTCAGAGCGACCGCCGATGCGAAAACCGCTGTGTGAGTTCGAAAAGTGAGTTACAGAATCGCAGGGCAGTTACTATCATGGGAACTTATTGATATGTTATTTAAAGTAAAATCTCAAATTATTGTTAATTTTTAGTACACTATGCAATGCTAACTGTTTAAAGGTTTTCATATATCAAAATCTCGATTTTTACGTTATAAGTTAACACAAAAAAATCACGCGGAAATAATGTAACAGTTAAATTTCTACTTTTAAAGTAACAGTCTGCTTTTGTCAATTGGAAGCCACATCTTTAATTGTTAATTTGTACCTGAACAAAATGCAATTTCGCAGAATACCAACGCAAGGAAAGTTAACAATTTTAATGAGTTCTCTGCGCAGATCTAATTGTATATTTCGTATTGTCTGACATCTTAAATAAGATGTTATCTAGGTCTGATAGATATAAAAAGATCTGATATATGGAAATAAACAATATTAATAAGGAATATTACTGGAAAGGGATTTTCTTGGGATGAGAATCAGGCCAGGAATAAAAGTAATTTCATAAAATAAAACTGACTTCAAGTACAAACATACATATACTACATAATTTAGCACTCGTTGAAAGTCTAAATAGACAATCATACTCAAATGTTATCCAAAATATCGCATTTCAGTTAAGCTAGCCTATAAAAACGATATTGTTATAAAACGGGGGAAACGGGCAGGAGTCTCATCTGATTTTAAGTGATACCGCCGCCCATGAGCACTCACACTGAAGGATCGCAAGTGCATTGCCGGACTTTTAGGAATTTGTACGATGATATCTTGAAAAACCAAAAAGTGCCTTAAAAGCACTCAGTTGTGGAACAACGATCGTAGAGATGCTACGGGTGGTATTTTGTATTCTGCCTCAACGACCGATGAAGAACTCAACTGCAGGTATCATCTGAACAAGTCCTCCGAACACTACCTATGATCCACTAGACATCATTACAGTGAATAATCAAACATATTACGAAAAATACCATCATTTCTAAAATGTAGACTAAACATAATGTCTCAATAATATATTACAATGTGGAGAATAATCAGAATAATAATATCACTAAAATGTATTCATATACACACATATTTTCTTACAAAGCTTTTTTGTTCTAGGCGGAAAAATTTCACGTTAACAGTTAACGCGCTATTAAAGTATTGAACGACGCCTTTAATTATCAGTACCTAAGTAAGAGTACATCAATGGAAAACTGCACTTTTAGAAAACGATATTCCTTAAAAACTCGATCCCTCATTATAAATACCGACAACTTCTGCTAAACGATACTGAATTTCATCTCGATTCCAAAAATCAATCGAACCAGCTTTCGCCTTTTCGTAATTACGACTAAAGCAGGTCACGAACGTACTCCAGTACTCAGAATCAGCCTAAAAGCAATAATTACGCCAAAATAACGTTTATGCCGAAAGCAATAAGGCCTACACTTGTATTGCTTTTCCACTCCGATAAACAGGCAATGCTTATTTAAATTAGATTTCGGTGTTTGCGCAAACACGCTGCTGAAATAATGAATTCGTTCATGTTGATATTTTATTTAACGGTAATTTTGTGAAGTACATATGTGTTGAAGCCATTGCGGGAGGTATTAGCGTAGTTCGCGAGGTAAATAACATTCAGTTTTAACTGGACTACAAAATATGGCAAGTGTAATTTCCAATGTCAACTCCACATTATTTTTTTTTTCTATATGTTACTAGCTGCCCCCACGAACTTGTTTCTACTTAATGTGATTTTACTTAGCCTACCTTTTTAGTACATACCATTATGGAACATTTTGCTATGCTACCCCAGAGACTGTTCGGTTTTCTGGAATTAAAAACTTTTTAGGTTTTTCTGTAATTTTTTCTCTATATAAACCAGATAATTCAAGTGATAAGTTTTTAATTAACTCATTAAAAACTGTTCACAATGTTCGTTCCCATACTCCTCCGAAACGGCTCAACCGTTACTTATGACATTTTTTATGCATATTCAGTAAGTCTGAGAATCGGTTACTATCTATCTTTCAACCCCCTAAGTGATAAGGGGTGTCCACGCCACAATTTTTTTTGTTTTTATTTTTTTATGATACAGCACACAAAAATACAAACAACCCCTAATTTTCACCCCTCTACCATTGATTATATAAAATAATAGTATACATGGCGAAAAATCGTTTGCCGGGTCAGCTAGTTTTGATATAAATACACCGCAAAAATCTAGTACTTTCTTATAAATTGACTACACATACGCAATACGCATATATTTACAAGCCAACTAAGCAATTTTAATTAAATACGTATCTTATAACATACAAAATATATTTGAAAACGGCCCTCTTATTCAAATTCACTCAATTCAACCTTGATACACTTAATATTCTCTATCATATTGAATTTTCATTAACTCGCCTATTAGTTCTCTAATAGAATATGTGTAATATTAAATTAGAACAATTAATTAGTGATTTTGTTTAGTATTGCGTAATCAAATGTTATGCCGTATTCATTAAACCATACTGTTGAATTATACATGCATATTCAATGCTTTTAATTGCGTTGTAATTTTATAATTAGTTTAGAATAAAATTAATTCTAATAAAATCTTTTATACATATTTTATAACACTGATTTATTGTAAATCACAGTTATTGAAATCGTACCTTTTTTTGTAATAAAGAGAATATAAGGTTCTTTCAGACGATAAAGATGACACGCTCTCCAGAGGGTGACAAAAGTTCAGTTTGTTTTTTTCAGGTATCACTGAACTGAACACTAAAAGATTTTCAGCAATCAAGGGTGGGTGGTAAAATGAGACAGCCTGAAGTCAAATAGTTCAGAACAATCTCAAGAGTTGAGACTCTTTGAAAAGTTGACATGTATGTGGATCTCATATAAAAAAGTGCGTGTATACCAGTATCGTATACTGGTACATGATCATCTATTCCACTTATTATATATTATCACTCCATGTATTTGTATATCTATATTCACACTGTATACGTGCTAATCTTAATATATATATAAAATTACGTGTCACGTTGTTTGTCCGCTATGGACTCCTAAACTACCGAACCGATATCAATCAAATTTGCACACCGTGTGTAGTTTGATCCAACTTAAAAGATAGGATAGCTTACATCTCAATTTATATACGCAATATTATTGTATTGCAAAATATTAGTTTATTATTTGATAGCCACAATTTTAACAGATGGCGCTGTGTTGAAAGTACCAACGTTTCACATGAGCTAAGCTACAATTTAATGGCATAACCACCAAAAAAGCATGGTGGTCCCCATCACTGGTGGTCTCCTACTGTTGCCCTTGAATAGTTTGCTACTATGTAATATAACAAAAACCTTAGCCACAGCAACGCTTGGCCGGTCTGCTAGTGTTAATATAAATAAAGAAAAAATCTGCATTTACTACACAATACGTTATGCGACAGAATTGTCATCTAAAGTTCTAATATGTTCTATAGAACTGTATTCTTATAAGAATACAATACCTTCAAGCAATAGCTTGTAATTTTTCTCGATCTCCCTTACTCTCTCTCTCAATCTTTCTCACTATAGCTCTCTCCCTTTTCTTCGACAAAAACGCTGCACATCTTCGTTACATTGATATCATTATTATTGCGTTTTATCCGTAAAAAAAATTCCCCTAATGCGCCTAAATCCATTAACTAAATACCCATGTCGTAGTCATACATATTAAAAATACGAGCTCTGGTTTGAGGTGCTAAGGTTCAATGGACTATTAAAAATGTCGGAATCTAAGAAAATCGCGAATAAAAACTAGTTTATAATTCAATTTAAACTTTTCTATAAATTTCATCCGATTATAGTTAAAATTCAAATTGACGAGGGTCGATTTGCATAATCGAGAAATTGATTGGGGCCATTTCTTAAAGAGCAGGTGAAAAAATAAATTCTTGAGAGGGGAAATGTCATTACAATGAAGATTTGGAGGGTTTCGGGAGTTTATAAGCACGCCACCTGTTGCTTTTTGATTCAATTTCCTAAATAATCGTTTGATCGAATAAGCACCATGAAATATAGAATTACTATAGTAATTAACTTTAGATTACGCGGGTTTAACGTAGCTGCTTTTAATTATCATTTTCGTCTCAAACAGAATTGGCTTATTTTAAAAAAATATTGTAAATAAACAATTACTAATATTGTATTTTATAAAACTTATCCTAACACTCGTTTCTAAGAGAATAGAGTAACTTGCGATTACTAAAAAAACCTGTTTGCGGCACTTATAATTGTTCATACAATAATAATATTAAAATAAGAACTTATTAGACTATTTTGTAACTTTTTCAAATAATATATCTATGGTAATATAATCTATGGTAAATAATGTAGTAAAACATAAGAACTTGAAGTTGTTGTATATTTTAATTTGTTTTAATAAACTAGGCGCTAGTATGAATAATATGCTATAATTCCGATAATTCAATACGTTTTTCTATGTTAACAATAGAAAGGCTATAAAGCCAACATATATTATTTATAGAATATTTGAGCTTTTGATTGAATTGTGTTTTAAAGTTTGCAGCAATGATCTGGTAGCCATGAGCGACGCCACAAAATATTAGACCTAATATATACGTATATATATATATACTAGCTGATTCGGCGAACGTCGTTTTGCCATGTTTATCATTTATAATAAAAAATAGGGGTTGATCGTAGAGGGGTGAAAATTGGGGTATTTTTTAATGATTTATCATAAAAAAATAAAAAATAATCTAAAAACTACTACTGGACTTTGTGGACTACCCTTAACATTTAGGGGGATGAAAAATAGATGTTGTCGGATTCTCAGTTATACCCAATATGCACACAAAATTTCATGAGAATCGGTCAAGCCGTTTCGGAGGAGTTTAACCACAAACACCGCTACACGAGAATTTTATATATTAGATAAAATATCTACAAATATCATAAAAAAGTTGTTCGTGTTAGGAAAATAATTCAAGAATTCCTTACTTGTAAATGCGTTACCTTTCATTTTCTTTGCAAGTAAACCATCAAATTCCATTAAGTAAACTGTCAAAAACATCCAATAATGCTTATAAAGTTGAAACTTGTCGCCAGTTTTAATACCTTCGTACCTGCAACCTATTTTCCTTCGAAAAGAAATCTTTGTACTCAGAATAAAAGCATTTTCATGTTCTATCGAGTTGAGCCGGGCAAACATTTAGTATCAAATACGATATTCAAGTGAAACTTCTTAAAACTAGGTATAAGAAAAATATTGGGCAATCGGTAAAGGTTATTAAGTATTTTTTCAATTGGAACTTTTTAGTTTCTTTACAAGAATTTAGAAAGAAAATTCAATTTTTGTACTATATAAAACAGTTGTGTATTTTGTGAAATAAATAAATTTTTATCGAGTATTTTTCGAGATCCGATATGATATAATATGATTAGTGATCAATTAAACTACGTAACTACTTGGTATAAAAATTGTTTTACCGTCAAGACATAAGTATTTATATCTATAAAGACAAATATATTGTTTTTTCTTCTGGTTAACTTTCATATAGAGCATAAAAGGTCTGATCTATACGCTCTATCTATGATCTAATTCTTAAATCTTTATAATATTAGTATAAATTAAAAAAATACTGCACCGATTTGAAAAATTCTTTCACTATTAATTTTAACCAATAATTATTATGCTTTATATGCCTTGAGAAACCGGAACATGTCGCTAGAGTTAAATACAGTTGTATTGCGTAACTATAACCTACCTCCAAGGACTCGACACGTCAACAGCACATCGTCTCCTTCTTCGTGAGGTCCTAGGGTCGTAGTGTTGATGACTCGACCCCATCGATCCACAACCACAGGCTTTTCTGGTGGCACTGAAAAATTAATTACCGTAAACATCTACCACTTCCACTTATCTCTTAACTTTATTATTGCTTATTATGTATACATAGAATAGTAATTAGAAAATCCATTCTGGTAATCACAAGTAGTTTAAATTCGAATCTGGATGAATTTGTAGGTAATGTGATGGTAATGGGTTTGGGATCAGATAGGTACTTCCATCTTTCCAAATAGGATAGAATCCTCACGTTGTTTTTTTATAGTTTAGGTGGCAAACGGGCATGATACTGTATGTTAGGTGATACCGCCGCCCATGGCCACTCTCAATACCACAGGCTCGCGAGTGCGTTGACGGCCTTTTAAGAATTGCTACACATTTTCTTAAAGGATCCTAAGTCCAAATTGGTTCGGAAATACTTCAGTGGGCAGCTGGTTCCACATAATGGTTCCACGCGTTGTTCTACATTGAATTATTTCATCTGTCTTAGTATAAATGAATTAAATTATGATGTATGAAGCCTATGGGCACGAATAAACACATTTCGGTTTCTGCTCTGTCTAACACAGTGCATGTTCTCACATATCACATATGCAAGCGGTGTCCAAACGTCCAGCATTATTTGAGTATATATACAACTTTTCTGTTATGTGACGTAATGACAACTTTCCTTACGATATGAGAACAAAAATCCTATAAGTTTCACAGCCTTGCACCACAAAAAATCTAGGACGAAGTTGTAGAATACTAGAACTTGCGGTTCTCTCTTGACAAGTTTTTATTCAACGCTTCAATACGTGGAACGGATTCAGTAAAAGTTTATAACGATCGCACATAAAGTTTATTCAAACGGTGCAAAATAATCGGTGCGAACATATTGTTACAGTTTTGCCTATTTGTATTTAAATTTTATATTATTAGAGCGCTGTTAGCCAATGGTCGTGTGATTTTTAACTTTGCATATGATCTATGTCTGTTAAAACATAATAATTGTATAAATCTAAGACCAAAGACCAATGTCTTTTTAATTATTTTAAAACATATAATAGTTTAACTGATTTAGTGCATTTATTTATTTATAAGTCCTAACATATATGCTTAAATAAACCGAAAAGATAGAGAAATCCAGAAAATATATAAATCTAAGACAAAGACCAATGTCTTTTTTAATTATTATACAACACATAAAACCTAATATAATCTTTAACTATTATTCATACTAGTTTTAACTGATCTAGTGTATTTATTTATAAGTCCTAAAACAACATGTATGTTTAAAATATACAATAAAATGACTTCATTATTTTTACACAAAAAAAAACCCAGAAAATATATACTAAGACAAAACCAAGCTAATAAAATTTTAACCTAATATCTTTAACTATTATTCACATCAAGTTATTAAGATAAAAATTTAAAATGACTTCATTATTTTTACACAAATACACATCAAATATTAACATAAAAATTTCAAACTATCAAGGAAAAAATTAAACCAGCAATCAGCAAAAAATAAATAACTAAATAGAAACTTAAACCTCATTAAGAGCGTAATACACAAAATTGCGGTAAGTAGGAAGGTTGTTGTAAAATATATAAATATTTTCATTACATATATACTAATTATATTGGCACATAAACCTACTTCATTGAAAAAAATATAAAAAAAATCATTACGCTAAGTGAAATTATTCCTGAGCGTGGCAGCGTAAAATCGGTCAACAGTACATCGTTCCCGGGGGTAAAGAATTGAACTGCGGAACCGGCGTCGAATTTAAAGCAGCTGAAATTGAATGATCGAATTTCAATAAAGAATGAACTAACGAAGCGGGTGTTAAAAAGCGCCATCCAATTATGGGTTGAGTGGCCTGGGTGTAATTACGCTCATGTCACTCATTAAATGGTAAGAAGTTAATTTATAACGTCACATTGCTGCGTACGTTTAATTTCACATGTTTTTCTTATTGGCACAAATAATTTGTTTAATATTATTTGGAATAAAATATTTATTTATATTCAATTCAATTAAGGGCTTATTTACGATTACCTAATTACTATAGTTAACTTTGTATTGATTGTGAACGCCACGCAAATTGATTTCACGAGTGTCTTAACGGGTTTATGATGAAGCAAGTACCGTACCAATAGAATAATAGTCAGTTGATGTTATTCGTGAGCAGTGTTGGCCTAGTGGCTTCAGCGTGCGACTCTCATCCCTGAGGTCGTAGGTTCAATCCGGCTGTGCACCAATGGACTTTCTTTCTATGTGCGCATTTAACATTCGCTCGAACAATGAAGGAAAACATCGTGAGGAAACCGGCTTGACTTAGACCCAAAAAGTCAACGGCGTGCGTCAGGCACAGAATGCTGATCAGCTACTTGCCTATTAGATTACCAAATGAACATAAAACAGATACAGAAATCTGAGGCCCAGACCTAAAGAAGGTTGTAGCGCCGTTGATTTTTTTGGTGTTAACCTCAGAGTTTTAGATCGCTTACCGCAAGTCAAACGTTGTTTTGTCATGTATATTATATCCAGAAAACATTTTTTAGTTCAATAAAATAACTATCTACTATAATAAAAAATAGGAATTGATCGTAGATGGGTGAAAATTAAGGGTTGTATGCATTTTTGTATGCTGTATCATAAAATGATAAAACAAAAAAAAAACTCTATAAAATAAATTTTACCCTTAACATTAAGAGGGATGAAAAATAGATGTTGTCTAATTTGCAGACTTAACGATTTGCACACAAAATTTCATTTCGAGCCACGTAAGCCGTGACACGAGAATTTTATATTAGATGAAATTAAAATGATCATATCCCCCAATCCCTAATAAATGTCCGTCTCACGTCCCAAACTGATCAAAGTTTAACAATCGAATTTATGTTAAAACTTTGTTTACAATCCATTAAAGAACCGGTTATTCTGTCAGCGTTGTTGTCTTTCTATTAACTTCTCGTTTAATATAAGCTGAGTTACAAGTTTCGATCAAATTTTATTAATTGTACCTGTAGGGCTTGATGGGTTTTCGAAGTTTTAACAACTGTAATTTATTCGTGAAGTTATTATGTATTCAATGAATACTATATATTCAACTTCTTATAAGCAAAATAAACCAACCAAAATACCCAACTAAAGAAACAATTATCTATTTAATATACTATTAAATATACGTATAATACTAACAATAAATTAAGAAAACTAAATACTAACACAGCTGAAGTAATGTTTTTTAAGGTTGGCAATAAAAGGCTTTTGAATTTGAATTTTGAATAAGCAAAATAACTTACTAGTAAAACGTATAGTATTCATAAGATTGGCGGTATCGAGTTTTAAACGTTTGTTTTTAAAATAAATGTAATAATAATACATTGTTTAATATGTACAGTACATAAACGTTGAATATTGGCAACGCACTTGCGTTATAAGGGTTATATACACAGCGATTAGTGTTTCGGAATGCACCGAGGATTGGGAAGCGGGAAACTGCTATTTGGGCATAAAGATTATACCCTGAGGTCGTAGGTTCGATCCCCAGCTGTGCAACAATGGACTTTCTGCCTCTGTTCGCATTTAACATTATCTCGTCCGGAAACAATCGTGAGGAAACCGGCTTGCCTTAGACCCGAAAAAGTTGGCGTGTGTAAAGCAAAGGTGGCGATCACCTACTATGTTCATGTAACAGACACAGAAATCTAAGGCCCATGCCTAAAAAGGTTGTAGCGCCACTGATTTATTTATTTTAAGTGACCTGGAGCAAATTAAGACTTAAACAATAATGTTTAAAATTTGTATGAAAAATATAGCTAAACACGTGAAAGTATGTTCGTCATATTAAACCTTTAAATATAATTTAATTCATAAATTAACATTGAAAAGAACTTATGATTTAATTTTAGTGTATGTATGTTCAACCAACGATTGTATTAGATATTGAAATCGTAAAAAACGTAGCATGTCAATTTCCAATTAGTCCGGGGAAAATTAATTCATACGATTTTTATTCACTGAAGTTAATGTTTCGGTCGAAATTAGAGGGTAAAGTTAGATTGGACGAGCCCACTGTGTCGAACGTAAAACCCAATTGGGCTGTGACGTTTAAACGTAGCCCACCAAATAGACAAACATAGATTTTATTTCCGCATGGGAAAATCAACCTTATGTTTTGTTTAATACGATGTATTTAGGCGTAATATGTTTCAAACAGTAGTGCTAGTGCTAATAGAACCTTAGTTAGCAATCACCTGTTTGTAGCTGATTAATTGCATTCGGTTCATCCCATATTATTGTATTTGGTTTTAATTTGATGAGCAATATTGATGAAGATTTGTTGTATTAGATTGGATTTAATGAATTAATGGAACTTACTTCTTAACAATTTTATATTATGGTTGATAGTTGATCTGATAATTTGTAAATCCTATGCCGATATAGAAAATATTCTTGCCAAAATAGTTTAATAAATTGTGTTATGTAGAAATTATTGGCAAGTACAGTTAACATGTCAAATGGAAGATATTAGACGAGGGAATCCTAGTGTGGGGGCTAGTGCACTTTATTTTACTTAAATATCCTGTTATTGTGTATAATAAAGTTTTTCTTTTCTTACTTTTTTCTTTTCTTATAATTTTTATAATTCAGATACTATCCTTAAATTAGATATTTATAATTAAGATTTGGTCTCTGGAAAGGGATTTTAAGAACGTATATAATTTTACTTCAGAAAAATATTTGAATCCGCCTTCAATCATTTTTAGAAATATACTTGCTACGCAAGGGAACCGAACCGATGGACTCCGGAAAAAGTGCCAAACTACTTTTATCGTATTGTCTTTTATTGACATAACTTTTACACATTTAATTTTAAAAAATTACCGGATTAAAGTTATGTATTTACAATTATTTTACATAATATATAAATATTTTAAATAAACGTCGGTTATATTTAAAATTATATAAAATAATTGTAAATATATAACTTCAATCCGGTAAAAAATTGTTTTATTAAATACTTTTATCGTATCAATCAACTTATTACTTATAAAAGTAATCAAACATTTACATCTTTTTTAAGCAATTTTTATTCGAGTATTTCCCTTGAATTTGCTTTAAAAAAAATCTATATTTTCTACCTACCCATTTGCGAACTACATAAAAACCAATGAAGCATATTCCTTCATGTAACATTAGTAACAGTAAGTGTAAAAATGTATGTGACCTTAGATTAAAATGCCATGAAAATGCTAATAGCTTCCATTCCTGGCGCCTGAAGGTGAGAGGCGTAGATAAATGTCAAATAAAACAAAGAAAAAACGATAAATTACAGGCACAATACGATTATGGACGGCGTTTATTTCATTTGGGTAAAAATATCGGACTACGAAATTTGTAGTATTATACGGGTTTGTGGGTTGTTATCACTTAAATCACGATAAGTGCTTTAAGTTAGTAATTATTTTTTTCTATTTTTGATTCAAATCAATTTGTTATTCCAAAGTAAAAAAAACCAGTGGCACTACAATCTTTTTAGGTCTGGGCCTCAGGCGTATCTGTCAAGTAGGTGATTAGCCTGTTGTGCCTGACACACCCTGTCGACTTTTTGGGTCTTAGGCAAGCCGGTTTCCTCACGATCTTTTCCTTCACCATTCTAGTGAATATTTAATTGCGCACATAGACAGTCCATTGGTGCATACAGCGGATCGAACCTCGATCGATCTCAGGAATAAAAGTCGCACGCTGAAGCCACTAGGCCTACACTGCTCTATTCCAAAGTATATAATAAATTTAACCAGTTGCTGGGACAGTTTATTTATTGCTGGTATATAGATATAGGTTCCTATTTCTAATATTTCCTTAAGTAAGTAATATATCACAAAGTTTATCTATGTATTCCTGGCGAGGGTAAATGTTTTATTATTCATTATGTTATTGGTTATTTCCGAATTAATATTGAATGTATGTTAGACCAACTTTAATGTATGTATATTTATAAGTTTTGATCATTTATCGAAATCAAAATTTTCATATATTTGGAGTCCCGTAGGGAAGAACGGAGCAGGCAAACTTCTGTGTATGTTACATTAATTTTGTTTATAGGTGATCAGCATTCTATGCATGACATAATATGTCGTTGATTTGCATTTAAGGCATGTCTATTTTCTAATATTCTTCTGTATCGTACGGGCCTGCCTGGACAAATAGAAAAAATATATATAATATCTTTTATTGCTTAAGTTTCAGTTAGAATAAAATGAACTTAAAATAGAACTAGTACAAGACCAATTTATAACCCAAATGAAGTTACAGCACTCGAGCATTCGCCGAGTGTAATAATAAGCTTTAAAGCTCGCATTTCAGCCATACCCATAAGTTATGTGGAGCTTCCTTAAGCTACTTAAGGTGTATACACATGAGCACGGAGTCAATTTTTAACTTTCGTTTTTTTCATTATCATCTAGCCTTAGATCATTTTGCAAATGAATAACTGTATATTATTAAAAGATAGTTTACTAGTAAAAAATGTACTAATAAACAATTTCGTACATTTTTAGCCTATACTTTCGTATGTTAGACTTGGGGGATGAGATTGTGAAACGAAAGACGCAAGATAAATCGTTACGTTGGATTGTCATTGGGCAAACGGACGTCAGATCATGACGTGTCAACACATTGAACTAGAGACGCTTTTGACAAATCAAAATCAGACGGAGCACACTATCCTTTCGTCTATCATTATACTATTATATTCTCTGCATCATTCACCATTCACCGTTTATCGTTTGTCATGCATCGTTCATCGTTCATAATTCATCATTCATCGTTCAATCGTTCATCGTTCATCATTCATCATTTATCATCGTTGCCATCTTGTAAATTTTTATGGATGTTTAATACCTTATCTTCAAATCGTCATAAATAGGACAAATGAGTGCCTCATCTGATATTATGTAACATAACTCGCACTGTCAATGTACGAGTGCGTTACCATTTACCCTTTTAGAACACACACTGTTCTAGAATTCTAAAAAACTTCAACAGGCCCACACAGTGTTATTTCTATATATTGTATACCTTCAGTCTCATTTAACTAAGCCCGTTGATTTACGTAAGTTAATCAACGTTGCCAAGTTCACCAGCCGCCTTACACTCATATATCTGCCGTGTACAATACTGCACCACATTCCGAAGTCGAACCAAACAATTAAGCCCGTGCTAGTTTATGAATACGTATGAATTCCAATACACGTAGCGCGTAATTTAATGCACTTGAGAACTCATTGAACTAAAGTTATATCGAGATCTTATAGAATTGTTGAATAATAAAATTGTTCAGTGAAATGTGAGTGAAATGAACGTAGGTAAATACCTACGTTCATTCCTTTTTGTTCAAGCCTTTACGTGTGCTATACTCAAATGAGTATAGCACACGTAAAGGCTAATTTTATATAATATGCTCTCAAACATCACATATTAAAACGAGGAGTCAAAGATGAAATATGGAATTTGGAAATGACATGACAGCTTACGAATGATTTCTGTATATTAATTAAGACAAGTTTATAAAAATTATATAAAAAAACTCTAAAGGCACTCACCTACAACAGTAAGGTTGTATCTAAAGCTAGTGGTTTGTGTATTCCGGAAGTCAATACGACATCTATACACGCCTTCATCCCGCCTCTTCACATCCCTCACAAGGAGAGAGGCAGGTGGGGGCGATGTCGAAAAGTGTGCGCGAGGTCCGAAGACTTCTGGCGCTGACCAGTGGCGGGCTTCTGAAAGATGCTTGCCACGGACGTCGAAACTGTAACAATAAAATATATGCTTTACATTTCGAATTGCTTATTTAACAGTATATAGTTTAATGAATAAATATTGACAACTAATACGGACGACACACACATACACATTTTTTACGAACTACAACCGACATACACATACATCTAACGTATCTTATATTAATTGGCGTTATAATAGAAGAAATCTTATATTGAAAACTAAATGTACCAACGAAGCAAAGAGACTACAATGTAGTTCATTTGCAATACCATACATGTCGGAGCAATGGAGCCTGTATGAGCTTCCACTGTCATTATATGTCACAGAGCTCGTAAATTAACAACGTCAAAGTCTAATCAGTTTATAACCGTTAATACTTTTGGTTTATTCGATTTGTCAGTATTAATAGATCTACAAATAAACGACTATTTGAGCCCTTGCGCCAGTCGCGGGAAAACGCCTACTCCAACCGAGCTACGCTCGCCAAAACAGCCCCAGCTGAGCTGTAAAGGCGTATATATATAAGTATATATGTAGTAATATTAATTAAGTCATTGAGTAAGTTATAGTAATTTAAGGCAATTTAAGGCAATTTAATTTTGGATGACCATCCAAAATTCTAATTTAGGTCTAATTTCTCCTCAACTGCAGTACTATTTATTTCCTGTATCACACCCTGGTTGTGTATAGATCCTCAATGGACTCCTATGTAAGGAAAGAAGAAGTGAATTAAGGATTAATAATCCTTATTTAATATGCTTCAAAAGTACTTGTATATTAGACGTTTTATTTAAGATTTTTTTCATCTTAACGTTTAACGTTAAATTATATGATGATTGAGTGTTAGAATACGAATTTTGTCGTGCTTGCAATAATAATAATATGGAACTCGGAATAGATTGCGTGGATTCATCGTTTCATTCACAAATAACAATTAATTATTTCAAAATATACTACACATAAATATTAAAAAAAATTAAATATGCACACAATACGTTTACCAAATTAACTACGATCGTTAATTGTGAAACATTTTTAGAAAAAAAGATGTGGTAAGTTACTAACTACGCATGATAATTTTCTTTTTATTAATAACTTTTACCAAATTAGGCACAATTATTAAATACGTAAATACGAAATTCGGATAATAAATTTACAAAAACATACATTTAATTTTTCAACAAACGAAATAAAATATACGAATAATTATGCATAAATATGGGACATGATAAATGTACGACTCTAAAAGGACCAGAAAAGACTGTAGTTGGCTGGATATCCGGAAGCTATATCCAGGAGTTAAACCTAGCACTTACCATTAATGGTGGTGTCCTACTCCAAGCACTAGATCTATTGTAATCACTCAAAATAACTTTATTCATATAGGTAACCAAGTACACTTATGAACAACAGTAAATGTGGTACGGTATACGGTGAAATGTGAGTGTACGACAGTGGTTCTATTCAACAACGTATGCTTGCACCATTACGCCGGAACACCCCCTACCATTTCCGGTTCATGTGTCAAAGTCAAAATCAACAATTGTCATTCTTTGACTGACACTACACAATTTATGATAACTTTAAACTTTTTAAATGTTCAATATTAAAGTAATCTTTGACATTGGACCCGTTATAACAGCCGTTTGTTAACGTCAGTTAACGATTATCTAGTTGATAAAAGGGCCTGGGACTAGTGCTAGACAGGCTACTTCTAATTAATTTGCGATATTTGTTTTAAAATAAGTGTTGTTTGATGATTTGCTATTTTATAAGAGTCCGAGAGTTTTTTACGCCGGCTTTTTCTCTCGGCCTACACCCTCTGTCTTCTTTGCCGATGAGTAGGGATGTCTACCTATTCAAATTTAATGACGTGGAATAAGTGATACCTGTATCTTATATTCCATAATAAACATATTTTATTTTGAGTCTGACGTCGATTTGGGTTCGACCGCGGAACGAGTACACGAAATGTCACGAAACTTGTTTATCCAAAATTCGAGTTGCTATGTCAACACCGTGAATATTGAATATGAATTGTAATTTTGTAGTTTTTACTTTTTATTGTTTTTTATATTATGTCGTGGCTGTATGTTAAAAGGAACGGCACGGGCTTTCTTTGTTTTGTATGTACGTCAATTTGTTTGCTTGTATTATGTGTTTGTCCTAATTTAGTGGTCAAATTAAAAAATATTAAATTAAAATATAAATTATTGTTTTGTCCAGAAAGTTGTAATATTTCTGTGGATTTAACAAAATTATACCTCCCTTGTTTCATCCCAAGAATTTTTCGATGTTAGTAAACATTTCAAGATTTCATCTACTTTAAAACATTCATCATAATTAATTTGGTTTAAATATTAACAAACTAACTTTTACTTTAATAACATTTGTAATTATATAATTATTATATCGATTACTTTTATAGAATTAGGACTCTTTAAAACAACAAACTTGGGTTTTGTTTGGTTTTCGTTAACCCAAACATACATTGCGTATTGAATCCAAAACATCGCTACACCCCAATGCCTGAGCTGTGGAGGATTTTTACGATAAATTATTAAATTAATTCATAAAACATAAGCGTTGTTCAAAGCACTTTTTTATGCGCTTGTACCTAACATATTACCCCGTTGAGTGATTTCTCATTACTCTAATATGATCTTTATGAAAAGTGAATAAGGGTGAGAATTCCGTGAAGTTAGATGTTTAGGTCCTGAGGGATATTAGGGCTGTGATGGAGCTTCCGCGCGTGACTCTTGTCACCTCGGAAATTTTATGTAAAAGTGTAAGGTAGTGTTGGGACGTGGTCGCTTTGAGGAATACTAGATTTAGTAGAAAGGTTGCGTTGGAAAATTATTTATGACAATTGTTTCAAAGAGTGCAAACGTATTATTTAACATGTTCTCTTATTATCTGTGACACGTTTAATTTATAGACAATTTTATTTTTGAAACCAGTAATTTAAATTTAGATTAAATAATATAAAATTTGTTATGAATTAGGACAATTCTATACAGTGAATTAAAATTTACTGTGGTCATGTATAACATTGAATTTTCAGTACTTGAAATGGATACAAATATTTGGTAGTTAGTTTTTCCATCAAAATATATGATAAATATAGGAATTCTAGTAATTGTCAAATTTGTATAGTGTGGGTAGAGTCAAACTAATATAGCAAGATCTTACATGTACAACCCACTTTCCGAACCATTTATAACTAACTATATTTAGTTGACAATTGCCGCCAGTTGCCCTATTTTTCAATTCATTATGTAAATCTTAATATATATAAATTACGTGTCACGTTGTTTGTCCGCTATGGACTCCTAAACTACCGAACCGATATCAATCAAATTTGCACACCGTGTGTAGTTTGATCCAACTTAAAAGATAGGATAGCTTACATCTCAATTTATACCCGCAATATTATTTTATTGCAAAATATTTGTTTATTTTAACAGATGGCGCTGTGTTGAAAGTACCAACGTTTCACATAGGCAAAAAAGCATGGTGGTCCCCATAACTGGTGTTCTCCTACCGTTTCCCTTGAATAGTTTGCTACTATGTAATATAACAAATATCTTAGCCACAGCAACGCTTGGCCGAGTCTACTAGTTGTATTATATTTCTGTATGCAACGAAGTGTTGATAAATAAATATATCGTTGGCGAAAAAGAGCTATATAAATTAACTTATATAATTTCTTTGTTATTATGTAAGATAAAATAAAATTGTGTATAAACTAAAAAGAACTATTTTCGACCAATAAAATCGTTTCTCATTATAAGTATACATATGGCATTGAGTCTCATGGTTTTCCCTATCCACGTATCTTCTATCTACAAGTTTCATCACGTATTCCGATCTCACCCAAAACGATGAAACACTCAAGACCTTTGTCAATTCGCTGCTAAACCATTTTAGCATTGCCCATTTCTCTCTAACGATATATATGACACCGGAAGATAACAAAATCAAATTTATGAATTTGCGACGTCACGTGTAAATTTATAAACTAACGGATATCCATTCGTAAGATTATAAACGGTTAGGTTATTCAACCAATCAGCGCACATATGCCGTTTGGTTTTCGCTAACTTATTATTTTACGCGTGAGTTCGCTAAGTTTATCAATTTGCGTAAATGTGGGCGTGAATTAATACAATTTATCTCTCGTTTAGAATCCTACGAAATTTATAAACTTGCGGATTTTGTTATATTCCGGTGAAATATATATATCTTAAAGGAATCTCCGTTAGAAAAACTACATCACAGTGCACAAAAAGTATCGTTATTTTTGTGTGTATTGTATATTTAAAGCTAAATGTGTTGTAATTTAAACTACATAATTACCTTTGGAACTGATGCCATCATAAATAATGTTTTATTTTCTATAATTATTAATTTTTTGACGTGACAACGTCTTATAATTCGATGGAGCCGGCTGCACGCACGAAAAAACATGACTCGTGCGGCGTTACCTCTGAGGCGTTCCATTTAAGGCTTGAAGTGCAAGCGAGAGCGCGACAAAGAGGCACAAAAAATTGACATAATTGTATTTATGCGTACAAATACATGTAACTTGATCAATTCAATTCTGATTTCCATTTACCTTCTCTATATCCATACAAAATATCTATCAAACGAATAAAATTTCAATTTTCTTTTGAAAAATCTTTACAGACAACCGATTTTTTTACACACAATTAATGTATTTGATAAAACTTCATAAGGTAAATACAAAATATTTGGGAAAGGTTAGATTGATTATATAAACTTAACAAAAAAAGTCTTTCAGTACAAACACAAAAATATTACAGCACACACAAAACACTCACGAAATAATAGTACTTTGGGCAATTTGACAAATTTTGTTATATATAAGACGTATACGTACATGACAACGTTATATAGTATTTTTATTCAAATATAATAATCCATATTTCCTCAATCTAGTCAGAGCCAAACAACTTCTTATATTTATTTATTAAAACAGCGGGGTGTCGCTTGAATTGCAAATTTAAACATGACGCATGAATTCTTCCCTGGCGACTATTTTTGACATAACTTGCAAAAGTCTTGCTTTATACACGCTATTTTTGTACCAGGAGACGAACAAAGTTAAAGACGTTTTATTTTTAAAACGAAGGGTTGCGTTTGTAAGAAAGCGCTCTGTAAATAAGCAACAATGTAAAGTGTAAAAGGAAAATGACATAACTTCAATGTTTTGTTTTTCGTAGACGCCAAATTGTTTTTTTGCGTAGATATTACTTAGATCACAAGCTCTACGCAAGCTACGAATCTGTAGCAAGTTACTTTGCTTACTAGTTAAATTAAACAATAAATTATATTGTAATAGTTTAACATTGAGGTACTTTCTAAACGTTAGTAGATCTCAGTATCGCGTGAACTGAAGCATATGTGTAGGGTTTTTTATTATTATTATAAAGATGTAGCTGTATGTATAATAATAATAATAATTTATTTTCTCCCATACAACATTTGCAACAAACAATAAGATTACAGTTGAGAAGGTATTGGGAGACTGGTTTCCAAACTAGGCAAGTACCTGTGATATGGATAACCAGGTTTCCTTTCCACAGCAAAGTCATACTGAGTGGTAACAAAAATAACATACATATAGGGGTAGGCAAAATTTTTTACGTTTTAAATAAGGAAAGAAAAACAAAACAAAACAGTCAACTAGTTAGAAGTTAGTAGAAATAAAGGTGGTGTGTTGTGTGTGAGTATGTGTGTGTGTGTGATAGAGGGAGAGGGTATGTACGCGTGTGTGAGTGAGTGTTAGGAGGGTGTGTGTGGGTATGTGTCAGGCATCCACGTGATCGGCCAGATCCGTGACAGAGAAGCTAAACTACTGGGGAGTGTCGTCACCCGTTTCCTACAAAGGAATTTTATTAACTTAAGCCTGATGGGCTTGCAGTATCCCACCGGGCCGGCACTGAGTACTCTGGAAATTTCCTCATGAATCTTTGGGCGAGTCTAGACCAATCTCTTGTGTTATTCGTCTTAGTCATATATTTGACAATTCTGTCACAGATTTTTACAATTACGATCAGTGCTCTGGCAGCATGTCAGTTAGCCCATGGTTGATCTGGTTGTCTCCATGACAGTCTCGAGTTCCAGATCGTATCTGTCAATTTAGTTAGTTTAATCAATATTCAAAGCGACACTATTACCGTGCTTAGCAAAAATGTCCATATTGAATATGAATACAAATATATTAGAAAACTTTACGAGCAGATTTAAATGAACATGTAAGCTGTCAAGTGTTAAAATTCATTTCGACATGTTATAAAATATTTTTATATTCGACGCTTCAACTGCCCTTTGTTTAATATTTCCAGCTCCACGCTGATTGGTAATGACAGGCCGATTATTTTTGATATTCTGTTTGTAAACGTGCATATTTTGAATTGCTGGTACTGTCGACAATATTTAAAAATATATCTAACAATACTGGTTTGTACTTTAGATTTTATATTACACAATCAGCCATTTTGATTGCGTGAAAACATGAAAGTGCAATTAAAAGATCTAAGAGTTCTTGAAAACGATATTGCTTTCTAGATAAAGAATTAACAGTCATATAAAGTATAGTTCATGAACCTGATATAGGGAAAAGGCATTTGGAGAAGAGCGGCCACAATCACCGAGAGATTTATATATTTAGACTATAACATGATTTATCCTTGAGAATATAAAATAATAGTAAATATTTATTTATTTAAACACTTCGTTGCATTACAATATAGTTTTTTTACATAATTAAATGTAAAGGGCAACTAGCGGCCTTATCGCTTTCGAGCGATCTCTTCCAGGCAACCACTGTGAGAAAAGAGGAAAAAAAAGTATTAAATTACATAAGGTAGACAAGAAGTGCAAAAATACATGTATACAGTTGTTCAGAAAAAGAAACTAAACAGGAACAAAAAACAAACTAAACTCATTAGTAGTAGTAAGGATTCATGAAAAAAATAATAATAATAAGTGCACATGAATCATTATAATTTAATTTCAGAATTAAATTTAAGATCAGTCTCACGTCAGTTAGTAGGTATTATTAAAGTTAGGGATACGATGTGGACAGGATATTAATATATCTCTTAAAAACAAAAGCTTCTCATCGCTTTAGCTAAAGTAGTATTTCTGTCTTTCTGACAAACTGTATTTATGCTGTGATGAGAAGTGACAGGCCGTTTTTTGAAATTAAGAGGGGAAGTTTCTAAGAATAAACAATTAGTGTTCATTATAATATTTTTACTACATTCAGATGAAAGGCGTCCATACCTCGTCACTTTTCCTATAAGCTTTAAAGAAATATAGTGTTACTATTTGTGTTTGTGAAGAGTAATGATAATACAGCTGACATACTCTCAATCTGCAAATTTATTTTAGTCTATGCAAATATACTATCTACATAAAGTTTTTAAATTTTCAGCTCTGGTATGATATTTTCAGTAATTATACGTTCGTGAATCTACTAGCA